ACCGTCGTCCGTCACTACGTACGTTCTTACGTACTATACTTACGTACTTACGTTACTCTACTCGTTCGTTCTTCTTACTTACTACTACTAGTAACTACTCTCTCTCTCTCTCTCTCTCTCTCTCTCTCTCTCTCTCTCTCTCTCTAGTCTATAATATAATGTTTTAGAGAGAGAAAATTTTGGCTCTTTTAGAGATAGTGACTGCCAATAGCCAAGGGTCTCTACAAATGGGTTTGGACCCCAGGTTCTGGCCTCACAGTGTTTCTCTGACTATAATTTGAGTGTCCTATTCCCTTGTTGTTTCTTCTCTTCACTGTTGATAAATCTCTCTCTCTCTCTCTAGTCTATAATATACATGGGTGTGGTTTATATAAGGTTGCAACCTTAAACGATCCAAATAAGGCATAGTCTATAAATTTTATTATAACATGTAATATTTGTGTAAATTGTTTTTTAAAATTATTTTAAAATTTATTTTTTTATCTAATTATAAAATTTTAAAATTCAAAAATACTTAAAATCAAATACATCTATAAATTTATGAAAATCTTGAAAGTTGACGGTCTAGATAATTTGTTGCAAGATGCAGTATCTAAATAATGTGTTGCATGATGCATTATTTCTTGAACTCAAAATCTTTTTCTTTCATTTTCGTAGATTTTGATGTTGAGATGATCAATTAGAAGGTTTTTCAATATTAAAACAACATTTTCCAATAGATTTTTGAAATAGATATGTAATTCTACATTTTAAAATTACAACATTATATAAACTTTTTCCATAATATATTGACTAGACTATAATATAAACTTAAAATATTGACAATGGTCCATACGATGATTCTTACCTCTGGACTACCTCAAAAAATATACATATTTGGCTCTAGCCCTCCAAAGGAGAGCCGGAACCTGGCTTAAAAAGAGCTATACAGGTTGGCTCGGGCTGGCTAGAAAGCGTGTCTGACCCAAAGCCTTGTGTCAGCATGTTGGGCCGAACCTTGATCAAAATCGAAGTTCGCCCGAGCTAGCCCGGACCGTGCTAGCACTATCAATCTCTATCTCAAACACTCATCTTTCTCTCTCTACCATGAGCATCTCTCTCTCATGCTTCTTAGGTTTTGCCGCAGGCTTTGTCGTGGGCCTGCCGCCTGCCCACCTCATCGAGAGAGGCCTAGTGTTTTTTAACATTTGCAGTTGTCTGTCGTTTAAACCAAGGTTTAAGATTTTGGATCCTTTTAAACCAGATATGCTAAAAGCTGTATTTCTTTTTTGGCATAAGTTTATATAAGGTGGGCAGGCGCTACCATTGCATTTTCTGATTGGATTTTGACACGTAAAAGTACACACATGAAATGATATCTAAAGAGATGTAGGCCCAAAGTCAAACATGATACACATGGTATACTTCTTCCAAATTAGATTGTTTAAACTTTGAAGTTACTTCACTCCTTTCTATCCTTAGTCATCATAATAGGTATGTTTTTTTTTTGGTAATTCAATGTATCTGTTTTTTTTAATAGTTTAGGAGTCAAGGTATTATAGGGAAGGATCCGGTTTCTATGCGGTCAAGCCCGCATAAGTTGACACGTAGAAATATGGACCTATTAATAAATCTATTTTTGAGATGGATTTTTTTACTTAATTTTTAAATATATGTATTAACATGGAGATCATGAATATGAATAAATAAATAAATTTTAAAAGTTAGATATCATAATTTTAGTGAGAAAATATTTGGATCGTTAGTTTCTATTGTTTTTAGATGGAACACCTACTTGCGGCCATTTTTAAAATAGATGCTTTACACTTTTTGAACCGCATATGTAGTCATGAGGGCTGGACAATTTTCCTATAGGGAATTCATCATAATAGGTCCTCTCTACTTTCATGTGATAATCAATCCCATTCCCATCTCTTTTACATATTTTTTCTCCTAGCCATTTTCTCATGGGAAATTTACATCCGTACCATAAATCAAATGTGGTATTACGAGAAGGTGCATATTTTTCAAAATCTTATGCCGCGGTGTAACTCGCGAGCTTTCTTTCTTTTTTTTAAATCTATCTAAATCTAATGTTCCAAACATTGGATTAGTTTCTCATTTATTTTTAAACTTATTTTATTCATGAGGAAGTTTGATAGCTCATGGGCGAATTTGGGGCCGGATGATGTTTTAACTCTACCCTAAATCCAATGTTCCAAATATTGGATTGGTTTTTCATCTATTTTTAAACCTATTTTATTTATAAGGAAGTTTGATAACTCAGGGGCCAATTTGGGGTCAGTTTGATGATTCAAATATCGGGCTCCACTAAAGTGGGGCAGTTTGATATCCCAAATGTTGGATTACCTCGAAGTGTTTCTCATCCCATGTTTTATGTCGATCTGATATTCAAAACATTGGATAGATCCATTAGCCTTTTGTTTTTTTAAACGGGGGTTTAATGTTTTCATAATCTCACCACCTTTATAAAGAAGGTGGTCTACTGTTTGGAATATCAGGTTGCTCTAAAGTGGGAGAGTTCGATATTTGGGCTATCATACTGTATTATTTTAATGCAGTACGATGTTGGAAATATGGGACCAACTCCAAATTGGTCCCCGAGCTATTGGAAATCTCTAAGAATAAACAAGGTTAAAAATAATTGGTATAAAAAATTGGTCCGATGTTTCAAGCATTAAACCAATGGCAAAATTGAAAAAAAAAAAAAAAGACGAGCGTGTTGGACCTCTGTGTAAGGGTGAGGTCCTAAACAATCAAATTATGACAGGCCTAAAAAATTCACTAGAAGAAGTTGTTTTGATGTCTAAAATCCTCACCTTGAGATGCATGGACATGAGAAAAAATAGATTAAGTCTTGAAAATATTACATATTGTATTGCATTTGCTGAACTGTCAATTTTCAAGATGTTCAAGTTTTCATAGATCTGTTCGATCTACATTATTTTAAAAGCTTTAAATTTTATAGTTAAAGATGAAAATAAATTTTTCAAACCATCATAAAGATTTCCAATGCTAAAACAACATCTTTCGATATTATTTGAAGGTCCACCTTACTTTGATTGTTTAGGGCCCCACCCTAGTACAAAGTACAAACCATACCTTTTAGGAAAAGGAAAATGGTTTGATAGGGCCAGAGTCCTAACAAAATAAGTAAATCCGCACGTTGTAACTCATAGAAAATTGCAAGTCAAGCATTGGAAAACTTTCTATCAATCATCTCAGCATGAATGCTATGGTTGTGAAAGAAAATTAAGATTTCAAGCTCTAAAAATAGTGTATATTGTAATAAATTATTTAGACTCTCCCTAAAAATAAGTGTTCACATATCCACAAAATATGCACTATTTTTTAGTCTCAAATTTTGTTCTTGGTGTTGGAAATTGATATTAGAGCCATAATGGAAATTTTCATTGCTAAAAGTGCTTCCTGAAAGAAGATTTGAGGTGAGACTTTATTTATTTATCATAAAGCCTAGGCCCTATAGAAACTTCATCCTTAGGAAAATATGTCGCACAATACTGTATTTATTTTCGTTACGGATATGATTTTTCCTTTTCTCACCAATGTTTTTCGTCTTTATTTGTTCCTCTTGCACTTTTTGGAAGCTTTTTTTCCAATTTCTCTGTTTATTTTTAACACACTTTTGATATTCTTGTCTCTATATTTCACCACCTCTTTGATTGCTCAAATCATTGCTCTCCCTCTCTCTCTTACTAAGATATCTAGGGGTCGCTATGGATAAAAATATTTATAGGACACGGACTTATACCAAACCTGGCCGAAACTGACCCAAAAATAAAAAAAGGTGTGGTTTGTATAAGGTGGCATAAATTAATATATTATTTAAATATTATAACTTAATAAATTTAATTATATTTATTTAAATATTACTAACTGGGTGTGATTTGTATAAGGTGGCAAACTTAAATAATCTAATAAAGGCGCACCTTTAAATTCTATCATAAAAGTAATTTTGATATACAAAATTCTTAATGTGGCTTGAGAATCTATTTTCATCTCTAAATATAAAATTTTAAATTCTAAAACTGGTTCAAATCAAGTAGATAATAGACGGCCTAGATGATGTGTTGAAAATGGATGTCGTTCAAATCCGGTCTGGTCTAGGTTGGCGAAAATCTTTTAAAATGGACAGTCAAGATAATGTGTTGCAAAATACACTATTTCACGGATTATAAATCCTTTTTTTTTTTTCATATTCATACATCTCGATGTCGATATGATCAATTAGAGGGTTCTTTAACATCCAAACAGCCTTTTATGATGAATTTTTGCGGTGCTCTCGTATTGGTTGTTGGAT